TGCTTTCTTTATTGCATCGGTATGTTATAATCAGGTTTAATTCATGCATCTTTTCACTGCGCTGTGGATTCAAACTATCTCACTTCGGATTCTTTCCAAAAATAATTTCACATATAACAATCTGTGTATGTGTGTTTTCTATTTTTTGTTTACCTCTTTGTTGTGATCTGGTGGACATCTCTAAACCATCATGAGTTCAGGCTTCAATTTCAACCCAATTATACCCTGTATTCTCGCACTTGAACTCCTCTGGGCTTCACCTCTCACTGGTCCTTTTTTCTTCACAGTGTCCTGTATGGCCTTCAAGTCTCCAGCAAACACAGTCTGTTTCTTCTCTGTTTCTCTTCAGTATTTTCCTTTTAGATTAAGTCCCAGCCTGGCAAAATATCACATTCAGTGCCCTCAAACAGTCATGTCACACTGTTCTTACCAGCCTCCAGTTCACCGTGCATGTTTTCATCACGTGGTTTCTTCTTCTCTGTTGATCCTTTCAGTCGTCTCTTTCAAGATTGCTCCAAGCAATCTCTTTCAAGATTGCTCCAAGCATGGCAAATCTGAAAATCAGTGTCCAGTGCTTTCCCACAGTTCTTTATCCCACTGTTCAACTGCCCAGCCTGTAATTCACAGTACATGTTGCATCGTGTGCTTTTCTTCCATGCTGCTGCTGGTGTCGTCAGTCGTCGTCAGTGTTAATGGTTCAGTTGCACTGTCTTTTGCCTGCTGTTAATTCTTCAAGTCCACGATGTTCTGTTGGTCTTCATCAGGAGATTAACTGTCCTTTGAGCTTCTTCTCAGGATGTGGACAAAGTGAGAGGTCAAGCTGTGAAATTTTAAGCCAAAACCTGGCCTGTTTTCCTCCTAATTCTGTTAATCTATGGTTTTGCCGCTGTACTCATGGTTCCAGGTTGAGAGAAGTCCACCTGTATTGACACACTAAAGCATACACTTAATATCCTTTTCATTTCTTTTCTTAAAACCTCCATTTACTTCATCTGCCTAGAGTTTAACTCGTCTGTTTCTCTCTGTGCTCCCTTGACACAGTCAGTTCCTTTTATGGGCATGTAAAGTTCCTGTCACACACACCATTTCCTGTCACCCATGCAGCTGCTCAGAGCCATATTTTCTGTTTCTCTTTCCTATTTTACAGCCTAATCAAACTCTTTAGTTCTACTAAGTCTTGATCTAAAAACAATTTCACCCATCAACCCTTATTTCACGCACACACTTTTAAATATACTAAATTCTTTGCATTTGTCAAATCGTCTCATACACACACACCGCCTTTTCTCTCACACTTCCACTTTTTAACTTACTCTACTATCAACTTTCATAGTGTTATTATTATTTATTTATTATTTTGTACAAATCACACCCAATCACTCAAACCTACTACTCACAGCATTCACACACTTAAACTGTGACAGTTGAGGAATATAACTCAAAATACGCTTTCCTAAGAGTATTTTAGACATGCCTTTCATAATCAGAAAGAGCAAGTCAAAAAAACAATTGAAACCTCTTATTCTGTCCCTCCTATTATTTCTAAGGTATGTTTTTTATAAGTTTGTTATATGGCGGGTCATAATCATTCGTTCTGTAATTAACTGTTGCAACATGTCAGAAAATATGTTTATTCCTGATCTTGTCTGGGCAAAGCCTGCCATCTAGTGGGTTGACAGGGTAACACCATGTTA